AAAAAAATACTGGCACTCGCCAGTGCTAACCCACAGCCTCCTGTTAGGCATACCTATGGTTTCAATTTCAAAATTCTATGCTGGCTTGTTGTCAACTCATGGCAGTCACAAGATTTTCAGAAAACTTGACCTCTGACCTTGAGGTTGAGTCCCCTGAGATTCTAACTTGTGACAGACAAAGACAATAATGAGGAGCTGACTAAAATGTGATCCAACAAGGACATATTAGTGGCTGGATATAGTTGGAGAAATACACTAATTAGAAAAACTGAGCCATTCCTTGAGGACTAAAGCAGGAACTCATAGAAAATCATAGGCCAACCTCAACTCAAGACATTTTTTATAAATTTCTATAAAACTCGTGAAAATTTTAGACAACAGAAAGTGCCACTTATAACTACTATGGTTTTTCAATGTGCTAAAATTAAAGACATGCTTCTCCTGAGTCTACAGAGACACTCACATTGTTGTTGATGCGACTGTCTGCTCCAGCCTCCAGCAGCAGGCGTATCGCCTTCTTATGATTCAGTGTAGCTGCCACATGTAGCGGAGTGTCTCCAGCCTGAGGAAATCCATCACACACAGACATGCACATGAATATGAAACAAATAGTTTTTAAAAACGTCAATATTAAAAACAAAGGAGAAAGGAGTGCTTCCTGGATTTAAATTGTGTCTCTTTGAGGTGCTCTTTGGAAGGGATAAATAGGCTAAATCATCAAAGAACAATCCTTCTCAAATAAATGCACCGTGCATTTATTTGAGAAGAATTGTTCTTTGATGATGTTTGAAATAAAAAAGGTCTGTTAGGTAATGTTAATATAAGTTTAACCTTAACTTGAAGATCTCAAACAGATGCCAGTTCTTTATTATTGTGGTCTATTAAACAATGCAATTACTAATCCAATTCCAAAAAAGTTGGGATCCTGTGTAAAATGTAAATAGCAACAAAATGCTATGATTTACAAATCATAAAACAGTATTTTATTTACAAGAGAACATAAAAAGCATACTGATTATTAACTATGAGCTATATACCTGAATAAAAAAGGTTATTTCAGTTAACTTCTTCATTTATTAATTTTGATCTTAATATGACTCAGTCAACATAATAGCCTCACTCCTCCATGTTAATCTTACCTTATATGATGTATATAATCTCATCCTTAACATGCAAATCCCCACCTTATATGGTTCATTTAATCTACTAGTTATAATTTCATTATATATTTTTACAAGTTCAACTAATATGATATATGTAATCATGTGGAAAAATGTGTCTCCCTTTCCATGAATCACTGCCTTATCATGGAGGAGGGGTTATATTGTCGGGGGGCTTTGCTGCCTACTGGTAGGGTCTCCCATGGAAAATTGGTCCAGGGTGAGGAACCAGACAAAGGGCGATTCAGAAGACCTTGCCAGTACAAGATCAAGGGAACAGCTAAACCCCTTCTCAGGATAGGGTTACTGGGACCCCGCCATGGAGCCTAGCCTGGGAAGGGTACCCGAGGGCAAGCACCTGGTGACCAGGCTTTGGCCTATGGAGCCTGGCCGAGAGCAGCCCAAAGAAGGGACATGGAACGACCTTCCTGTAGACCCAGCACCCACAGAAGGCACTGTGTGCCAGTTGTCAGCCAAGGGCAGAGACCCTGATGGACCAATTCCAGGTACCGATGCTAGCGCTGGGGACATGGAATGTGGGGAAGGAAACTAAACTACTGCATAAGGCTAAATATAGTTGGGCTCAACTCAATGCACAGCTTGGGCTCTTGAACCAGTCCGGAGTTGCCCTTGGTGAGAGGCAGCAGGCTAGGGTGGGCATCCTGGGATCCCCTTGGCTTGCTGCCTGTATGTTGGTTTGTTTGTTTTTTTCCCGGTGGTAGAGAGGGACTGTTCCCTGTGCCT